GCTTGAGACTCCCTCCCGATTGAAAAAGACAACCGTGTCCTCAGTTTCCAGCCCTTTCCACATGCTCCGCATCCTCAGCTGCCAACCCTTTCCACGTGCACCTCTGTATCTCTGCACTTTACTTCCACACTGCACCTCCTCTGAGTCTCAGTGTGCTTTTCTCTTTCCTTCTAGTTGTAGAATTTCCACTCAGCCAGCCTTCCTGTGGTTCTGGATGATGTCCGTTTTGTCTTTTAGTTGTATTTTTGAAGTGGTTGTGTGAGGCAGCAATTTCCAGTGTTTACCTATGCCGCCATCTTGGTTTCTCCTCACTATTTCCAATCTTAACATTTGACATAAATATATGGTTATCTTTCATTGTGCCTTTAATTTAAACCACAAGAACTTGAGCTCATATCAGGAACATATACTAAGCAGTATCATGAGAAAACTCAGCATTCATTGTAAAACTTAATAAATTAGACTTCCTTACTCTACGTTTTTTTCTATTTTAACTTCTTAGCACTCAACATTTTTATTTCCTCTGTTATCTCCAAACCAAACCTTCCAGTTTTCCCTGTGCACGTAGGAGAAATGGTTCCTCATCAGGCAATGTTCTCGGATAATTACTTGGATTCTTTAGAATTGTTCCTGGTGCTGAGGTCGTTAAGTACAGTCAGCTCCTCAGGGCTCTGTAGGTAGGCTGGGGGGCTGAGGCCCACTAAAGCTTTAAAACACAAAATCTGGCCCTGGCCGGTGTGGCTCAGTGGTTGGGTGTCATGTGCACCAATAGGTTGCTGGTTCGATTCCTGGTCAAGGCAGCTGCACGGGTTTCGGTCTCGATACCCTGTAGGTGCAGGAGGCAGCCAATGGATCTGATGCCTCTCTCTCTTCCTTTCCCTTCCTCTCTCTCTAAAATCAATAAAAAACATCCTTTTTAAAAACCTGCTATACCTACGCTTTTAATGTCAAGCTTCCTTTTTGCTTCCGGCAGTGGAGACTTAGCTGCTTGCATCCTCTCACCTCTTCCCCCTGGGCCCCCCTGGGCCGCCCTTGAGGCGAAGGCATCACTAAGCCATCGAAAGTAAGCAGCGAGGGGAAGGAAAGGAAGAGCGAGGGACCCGCGTTTCCTAGGCTTAGTCACCAGCTTAGTTTCCTGCACATTCTCCTGTGTGTGAAATAGGCCTTAAAAAACAAACCCAGTTCTGCCGTAGCCTTGTCCTAAGGTGGGTGACATCTTGGGGAACATCTTGAGTGTGTGCCAATTCTGCATTCGTCTCTGCATGATTTCACTGGCGGTAAACCAGGTACACACAGAAACTGCCCCCAGCAGAGCAAGGTGAGTAGGATATAAAACACATTCATACAGCCCTAACCGGTTTGGCTCAGTGGATAGAGCGTCAGCCTGCAGACTCAAGGGTCCCAGGTTCGATTCCGGTCAAGGGCATGTACCTTGGTTGCGTGCACATCCCCAGTAGGGGGTGTGCAGGAGGCAGCTGGTCGATGTTTCTCTCTCATCGATATTTCTAACTCTCTTTCCCTCTCCCTTCCTCTCTGTAAAAAATCAATAAAACATATTTTAAAAAAAAAACACATACATACAGCCCAACCGGTGTGGCTCAGTGGTTGAGTATCAACTATGCAACAGGAGGATGCCCGGTTCAATTCCACATCAGGGCACAGGCCTGGGTTGTAGGCTCAGTCCCCAGCAGGGGATGTGCAGGAGGCAACTGATCAATGATTCTCTCTAATCGATATTTCTGCCTCTCCCTCTCCTTTCCTCTCTCTCTAAAAATCAATTAAAAAAAATTTTTAAAGAATACACACACACACCTGTGCACACACCTCTCGTCCCTCTCCCTCGGGTCCCCAGCTGTGCTGAGAGCCACTCCCACCACTGGTGCTGCCACTCAGGGACCTGCCTCCGACACTCGGTGACTCGGGCTGCAGCCTCCCGGGCTGTTGCTGCGAGCTGGCGTTGGGTCATGATGAAGGAGCAGTTAGGCCCCCTGAACCACGAACACGTGTAAAACTGTGTCGTCTTCATTAGGTTCCTGTCCTTTTTGGTACATCACCACCAAGGCGATTGTTTGGCTCTAACTCCATTTTTCCCATAAACCCTGTGGCTGGGACATGGCAGTTTTGCACAGCATGGTGATTTTTTTGGAATACGTGTGTTTTGTTATAACTGAATTGATTGAGCTTATCAATTGGTGAGTCCCAGAAAGAATTCTAAAAGGTGTATGTTAGGGCAGTATCTTCCCACGCTCAGAACCTCCAGCCTCTCAGGTTTTCAGGTGCATGTTCTCATTCACGTGTATGTGCACATGTGTGCACACACACAGTCACACACACACACACACACACACACACAGGAGCAGCCTGAGGAGCAGGCCCAGCACCTGACATCAGAGTCGCTGTCAGGTTTCCCTCAGATGCAGACAGTTGGCTTCAGCTGCTGATCATGTTTAGAGTCTGTGCCCTGCAGCCTCCCGAGAACATCAGGGCATCGGAGGGGCTGGAGCGGAGGGAGGCCGCCCGAGGGCGGTTTGTCACCCCCGGGTCTGCCCTCGCCTCGCTGTGTTACTAACGAGCCTTTGTTTCCCTCCTCATGCATCCGTAGTCTCTGAGCAGACGCTGCAGTCAGGTACAGTACAGAGAACCACCAACCTAACAGCAGCTGTTTCTTTACTTTCCTGAGGGTGCTCTTGTGAACAAATGCAGCCCTGTCCGTGGAAGCTCCCTTTTCCCCTCAGATTCTAGCAGCACAAACGGACACCTCACTGTAACCTGAGGGAAAGTGTCGGTTTGAGAAAACAGTCTCTTCACTTAGAACGCTCTCTGCCACCCGTGGCGGCTGTCACACCCAGTTCAGTGGAGCTCACTAGTGTCATGCCGCTTCATGCTTCATGAACAAGCGTTACTGGTGGGGAGACCCGGTGGAACCTTGGGGTGGGTTTCAGGGTGCTACCTATGATGTTTGTGATGCGCCCCGTGTTTCCCACTCACAATGTTTGAAAGGCATTGGCTCCTCCTCACACTGGAGGGGACATTCTCCAGGACCCGAACTCGCCTGGACTGAAGTCTGTTGAAAAGCGTCGAGGTTGCCGACCAAGCTGGGAGCGTTGAGCATATAAGACCGAACAGTGGTTATTTCTTGCCTTTGCTGTTCATAGCAATTTCATGCCTTCGTTTTCTGGTCAGAGTTGGTGATCTTGTCTTTAAAACCAAGTTTGTGGTGAAGGGAACAAAAGCTAAACTCTTGCCAGAAATTTAGTGGAAAAGACACCTTTTCCCCTTCACTCAGATCCCGTGTCACTAGGGCTTGTCTGGCTAGTGGTGCCGAGCCCTTCGAGAGACGTGGGCGTTTTCCTGAAAAGGACGGAGGCCGAGCACACCCCAGCTCTCTGGGCTCTGTCCTGAGATGCACTTCCCGGGGACAGTGTGGTGCTGAGGGTGGACGTCATTTGAGCAGAGACTCGTTTCTTTCTGCACGTGAAGGTTAAGGGCCGGCCGGTGGAGAAAAGCTAGGATTTTTAAAACCCGTTCCATTTATAAACTGACTGTTCGTTCATACAGTGTGTCATGGTCTGGCTGATGGTGTTCAGCAGCAGGTCATGAAGGACTGGTGTTTAGATACAGAAAGGGTGGCAGAAGCTGTTTGCGAAGTAGGAACAATGGCAGTGGCCTCAGTTATACAGACCAGCGTCTGTATTGGGGTCAGCCAGCTTCCAGCACCTAGGCCAGCAGCCAGGACACACCGTCTGCTTTCTCCACCTCCACACCTCTGCGCAAGCGGTCAGGCCAAGCAGTGAGGGCGGAAAGCTGCCCTGGGATCAGAGCTGTGCTCACAGGTTATTTCCCTCTTTCGCTCATTCTCTCACCAAACTGCGGTGTCCTGGTTCCATACGATAAATAATAGGATAAAACTGTGTCCTGTGGTGAACGGTGAGAATCGTTCTGCTTTTCTTTTCCTTTGACCCATTGCTGCCAGTTAAGTGCATCATCTCTGTTTTAGATGAAGGACCTGTACAATTCCATCCACTCTAAGTGCCAAGAATTTAACTTAACCGACAGGAAGTGCGCTTTAGAAGGAAGGAAAATAGGGCAAGAGAGCGAGGATTTCAGGTGTATGGGGCATTCATTCATTCACCAATTATTTATTGAGCACTTCCTCTGTACCAGGGGCTTCTAGTCACTAAGATAGTGCAGTAGACCAACATATCTGCCCTCCTGGAGCTTTCATTCTTGTGAAGAGAGACAGACAGTTACAGATCAATAGATAAAACGCGTAGTTTGTGAACGGTGAGAAATGCTATAGAGAAAAAGCAAGGAGTGGACGGAGGAGGTTAGGCACGGAATGTGGATGTTAATGAGGCACCTCCCAACAAAGTGAAGACCTGAATGAAGTGAGGGAGGAGCGTGCAGGCAGTGGAAGCAGCCAGTGCAAAGGCCCTGTGGCAGGAGCGGGCCTGACACTGCCGGGAGGGCAGTGGCTGAGCAGTGAGTGAATGGGGATGGCTAGCAGGTGAGGGCACAGGCAAGGCACATGGTTCCAGGAAGTTGCTTCCACTCTGAGTGGGATGGGAAGCATTTATCAGTGACCTCATCTCCGGCACCTCCTTGTCATCCAGACTTCGTATCTTTGTCAGGGAGCCCTAATTCATCAACCACCTGTTAGTAGCTGGAATCTTAGATGTAAATGTCCTTAAATGTTTTTGTTTGGGGAGAAAGTAAATTTATATTTTTACCAGCCTTTGAATGAAAGTTATATGAAGGTCAGTGGCATACTTCTAAAAAATGTCCTGTCTCTAATTTTGTGCCTTACAAAAACAACGTAGCATTTCATTGAAAAGAACCGTTCCTCCGCATGTTGTGTGTTGCTGCAGTAATTTCACCATAGCTTCTCTTATTTTGGTGACCGTGTCTACGCGGTCGACTTTTAAATTGTGCTGGTGGGTTGCATCGGGCTGGGCTCTGCTCAGGGCTGCTCTCTGCCTCTGCATGTGCCCACGGTGCTTCGTGCTTGTTTACCGTGATGCTTGTACGTTGCGGGCGCCACTTCTCAGCGGTGAAAATCCGTTTTCATCACCGTTTTAGTGCAGTTAAAACTCTGTTGTGTTTTGTCTTTGATTAGCCTCTTCGAAAGTTCTGAAGAGCATGTGCGAGAGTTTCTACAAGTTTTCAAAGCCCAAGAAGATCCGCGTGTGTGTGGGCACCTGGAATGTGAACGGCGGGAAGCAGTTCCGCAGCATAGCTTTTAAGAACCAGACCCTCACCGACTGGCTTCTTGATGCCCCCAGGCTGGCGGGCATCCAGGAGTTTCAAGGTTGGCCTTTTATGATGTGGGTGTAACTGACGAGTCCCGACTGATTTCTTAACCTGGAAAACAAGGGAGCCCTTCTCACGATGCATGACTTACAAAGGAAGCTTGGGTTTAGAAATTGGAAGTCCAACATTTTATAGACCAAGTCCATCAAAGGCTTCCCTCCTTTTTATTTCTAGGTTTTTACTTTCTGAAAAGCACAAAGGACCAGGCCTGTGGTTTTCGAATTTGAATGTGAAAAATCTCTCCCAACAGTTACCTCGAATTTGCGGTTTTCTCAGCCGCTTGTTGTCTGAGCCTTTTCTAAGACCCGCTTCCCCTCCAGTGTTGTTCACGTTAGCCTCTTAGAGGGGCTTGTTCCTCTACTGTCCATGGTATGAACTTGAGCAAGAATTCTTTCACAGTGATCTGTGCAAGGCCTTAAGGGTCTCCCAGAACAACAGTCTTAGAAGCAGCCCTGGGGCGCCTGAGTGAAGTAAATTTAAAGTAATGTTGTTCCACGCCCGGGCTTTTGTCTTCAGTTTGAATTTGGTTAAACTGAAAACACAAACGTGGATCTTCATGAGAACTGGTGGTGATCCCAGTCGTGTGGGGGCTGGAGGCAGGGTGCCGTTTGACAGGCTGCATTTTAATGGTCTTTCTTGAATGCGTGATTGCAGAGAGAAGAAGTAAGCCGACAGACATATTTGCGATCGGGTTTGAGGAGATGGTGGAGCTGAATGCCGGAAACATTGTGAATGCGAGGTAAGCCAGCAGGCAGCACCGGCGTCCTGGGGCGGCGTGGAGGCAGAGACGCAGCTCAGCAGTGTCTGTTTGCAGAGACTGAGAGGAAATATGAGACGTCCCTTTAAACTATGAAAGAGCAGTCCTCAGACTTGGTATCGGATCTTTTCTACAAGAATTTCCGAAGAACGTTGAAAATCTTAAAGAATTTTTTACAAATCTCTTTAATATCTGGCTTAAGACAGCTGGCTTCTCACGTTTCCTTTTGCAGGAGTCTGTTGTGGTGTGTTGTTTGGTTGAACTATATGACGAAAATTACATAAGTATGTAGTTGGAAATGGAAATATTTTTTTTTTTTTTTTTTTTAAATATATTTTATTGATTTTTCACAGAGAGGAAGGGAGAGAGATAGAGAGTTAGAAACATCGATGAGAGAGAAACATCGACCAGCTGCCTCCTGCATATCTCCCACTGGAGATGTGCCCGCAACCCAGGTACATGCCCTTGACCGGAATCGAACCTGGGACCTTTCAGTCCGCAGGCCGACGCTCTATCCACTGAGCCAAACCGGTTTCGGCGGAAATGGAAATATTTTAATGGCCTTTTCCGGTAATTTTTTCTCTGAGACTACACCAAAACTCAACAAATAGAGTAGTTTCTTAAAGTTTAGTTGCAATGTGGAATCTGAAAACACAGCAATGAACTTTTTGTGCGAATGTTCATTTTTTATTGGTCTGTGTTATGCCCAGATTTCAAGATCCCCAAGAAACCAACATCAGGGAGCCAGCCAGTCCGATGCAAAAGCATAAGAATCTGTATTTCAAGCTAGCTTGAGCTCCCCGTCCACCAGACTCGCCGACACAATGGCAAGCCAAGTGGCCAAGAGAGCGAACCCCCACGTAGAGACGGGCTTTATGGGGGGGGGGTTGGAGTAAGGGGAGGAGAAAGGACTGTGCTCTGCCACCTGGGTGTGGCTAGCAGAGTAGGACGCAGCCCCTACCCTGGGGCAAGATGGAGGACCTAGCCCTCGCCCTTTCAGTCTGTCTTTGACTGATGCATGATTTTGAAACATCGCTTGTTGTTCACTAAGAATACGTTAGCTCGCTGAGTTAGGGAGATCTTCACATGTTGGCCGTGCCCTTAACACATTCAGAATATGCGTCGGTGCCATCGTCACTGACCTCATCAGCAGCTGTGGAGGATCAGGGACTTGTCAAGGTCACAGGAGCAGCCACACGTTTTCCAAAATTCTCACTTTTGCTTAAAAACTCAAATTTTATCATTGGGAGCACATACCGAAGGTTGTTTCCCTTGAAAAGATAGGATTGGTCCAAAAAGGATTTGCTAAATAACCTAACTCTGAATAACCAGTCTTTCTGGGATTAATTCTTTAAGTACAAATTGTTTTCTATGAAAAAAGTGGCAGTTCATCTCTCAGCTCACACTGTCAGGGGCTTTTCCGAGAAATGACAGCCACTTGTCACAGAGCAGGCAGACGCTTTGTGTGTATCCCTTTGTCACACAGCCCAAGGGAGGGGCCGGGGCTGCGCTCCGATCAAGTCAGTGTTGGCTGCTGCATCGGGACCGTCTCAGTGAAATGCACTCTTTAAAGTGCAGTGCGAGGCAGTGAGGAGGGCGCCCACCAGGCGCCTGGCCTGGCTCCGTGCAGGGCGTCGGCGCTCAGGCCTCGTTGCTTCCACCTGTGACAGCGGACGCCCGTGGACACAGGGAGAGGGAGGCAGGGGCTCAGTAGTGCGTGGAAATGGCTTCGAGCTCGTGGGTTTGGGGACCCCCAGGGATGTTCCCAGACCACACTTTGGGAATTGCTGTTCTGAAGCCTCATTACAAATCAAATTATTTGAGTGAAACCCAGAGCTTAACAGCTTTATTTTAACCAAGTGTGTCTGCTTTTAAAGTTGAGCAATTGCCCATCTTTGATGACTTTTAAAAAGATTTTCAGAATAAACTTGTGGGTGAAATAGTATGGTACGAGAGTGTGGGCCTTGATTGGACCCTGTAAGAAGACAGTGTGGCTCAGTGGTTGAGCATCAACCCATGAACCAAGAGGTCACTGGTTCGATTCCCGGTCAGGGCACATGCCCGGCTTGAGGGCTCCATCCCCAGTAGGGGCGTGCAGGAGGCAGCCAATCGATGATGTTTCTCTCTCATCGATGTTTCATCTCTCTCTTTCTCAAAATCAATCAAAACATTTTTAAAAATGTGAGTACAATATAAACTATGGAGTGTAATTGACAGCTGTCTTACTAAGCAGGCGCCCCTGTCCGTGTCTTTGCTCCGCCCGCAGCACCACGAACCAGAAGCTCTGGGCCGTGGAGCTCCAGAAGACCCTCTCCCGGGACAACAAGTACGTGCTGCTGGCCTCCGAGCAGCTGGTGGGCGTCTGCCTGTTCGTCTTCATCCGCCCGCAGCACGCGCCCTTCATCAGGTGGGTGCCTCCGCCAGCTCCCGCCGCTGCTTGTTTCCCGTTGTCTGAGGAAGGAGTGACCTGCACTGGGAAACGGTGCCAGTCACCACCTCGCCCTCCAGTGGCCTCGGGTGCGCGCTCCTGTCATTATGTGACGCCCGGCCCTGATGTCTCGGGCACCGGGACCTGTTGGTGTCGCATCGTTGATTCCGGTTCTCTGTGTCCCAGGGATGTCGCCGTGGACACTGTGAAGACGGGAATGGGAGGCGCCACTGGCAACAAGGGAGCGGTGGCCATCCGCCTGCTGTTCCACACGACCAGCCTCTGCTTCGTCTGCAGCCACTTCGCCGCAGGGCAGTCCCAGGTCAAGGAGCGGAACGAGGACTTCGCGGAGATCGTGCGGAAGCTGAGCTTCCCTATGGTGAGCCCCGCGCTCTGGGAGGTGGGCACGGGAGCTGTGCTAAGGTGCCCAGCTCTCGCTCAGCTTCTGAGGATTTCACATAGTGCCTAGAAGTACCAACAGCGCTCGCCTAGACAGATACCTCACGTGTTCTCACCGCTGGGTGGCATGTATGAGCGCAGCGGGGGGGTGGGGGGGCAAAGAAATCGCCGTAAACATTGTGAGTTGCGCTCTGACGGAACCCATCTCCCTGCTCTAGGGACGGATGCTCTTTTCCCACGATTACGTGTTCTGGTGCGGCGACTTCAACTACCGCATCGACCTCCCTAATGAGGAGGTGAAGGAGCTCATCAGGCAGCAGAACTGGGACGCCCTCATCGCAGGGGATCAGCTGATCAGCCAGAAGAACGCCGGGCAGGTGCGTCCCGGGAGGACCGCGCTGAGAAGGGGGCCTTGGCTACGCAGCGCGCTTTTCTTAGCCGAGTGCTGCCTTGTCAGTCTCGCGGGGTCTCTTTACACCTAATGAATACATAGCTGTAGTCTGACAGGTGCAGACTTACCTTCCCTTTAAAAAAAGAAAAGGAGAGGAAAGGAAAACCCACATTAACTCCCCGGAAGGAAAATATATTGTCTCAATAAGATTAGCTTTTAAGTAGAAGAATATACTTTTTTTTAGTAATAATGAATTTAGAATCTTCGTCTTCAGGGCTACTGTTTTTTTAACTTAAGATCATGTGATAATATGTTTTATCTTTTTTCTCTTATTATATCATCTGCCTTTTTTAAAATATATTTTTTATTGATTTCAGAGAGGAAGGGAGAGGGAGAGAGAGATAGAAACATCAATGATGAAAGAGAGTCATTGATTGTCGGCCTCCTGCATGCCCCCCACTGGGGATGGAGCCCACAACTCGGGCATGTGTCCTCCTGGTTCATAGGTTGACACTCAACCATTGAGCCACACCAGCCGGGCTCATCTGCCTTTTTGAAACTTATTTCTTAAAATGTGTGGCCACAGCATTTTGGAAGAATTAAGTAAAAGTTCTTTCAGAGTGGAGGCAATTGTGGCCACTTGCTCTGGTGCCTTCATGGGCAGCGGTCACCAACCAGTGGTCCACGGACCACTGGGGTCCGTGAGGTCCGAAAGGTTGGTGACCGCTGTCCATGGGGGTCAGACCTGCATTCGAGCACTTGGGCACCACTTGCCGTTTGGGGCCCCGGGTCCTCATCTGAGAACAGACATGCGACCAGATGACTTCCAAAGTCCCGACAGGGCGGTGGGCTCCTCAGTGCGAGGTCAGGCGGGCGCCCAGGGCCACGGGTCGGGTTCTTCCCTCGCTTTGTTCCGCGCATCGGACGTGTTTATCCGATGTGCACAGATGTCATGAGAGGCCTCAGTGCTTAGACGTAGTGAATGCTGCCTCAGTGAAAATGTTTTGCTTTGTAAGCAACTTACTTTGTATATAAATAACTTACTTTGTATATGTTTATTGTAGATTTTTAGAGGATTTTTAGAAGGAAAAGTAACCTTTGCTCCGACATATAAATATGATTTGTTTTCTGAAGACTATGACACCAGCGAAAAGTGCCGCACCCCCGCGTGGACCGACCGCATCCTCTGGAGGAGGAGGAAGTGGCCTTTTGATCGATCAGGTCGGGAAGTGGCTCCTCATGTCACTGAGTTGGTGCGGGTTCTGGGAGGGAGGGAGAGGGGGGTGTGAGTGTCAGAGGAGGGGCTTCTTCCAGACGGTTGTATTTATTTTTACTTTTCTAATTTTTTTGTTTTGTTTATTTTAATTCCATCTATTGGGGTGACTGGTTAATGAGTTCATGTAGGTTTCAAGTGTCCGTCTCTATGGTACATGGTCTGTGTACCCCCTGTGTGCCCACCACCCACAGTCATATCTTCCGTCACCATGTTTGGCCCCTTCACCCTTTACTGCTTTTTAGCAAAGGTTACCTAGGATAGAATAAATAAAATTTAAATAAAAAACAGATTTAAAAAAATATTCTCAGATTGGCCTTTAATAACTTCATGAATTTTTCAGTCTGTCTCAAGGACATTATTTCATATAAAGAGAAGCGAGAAAGCACTTGGCATTTTAGTTGGCCGCCAGCTGAGGCGCTGACATGTCAGGTGTGTGCACGTGTTGGGGGCTGCGGCTGCTCTGGAATTGCTTACAAAGCGCTGTGTGGGCACAGGCCCTGGAGTAGCCTCAGGTGAAGCCGCCTCTCACTTGCTATTAAGTAAACGTCAAGCTGTAACTTCACCACAAGCCTCTCTGACCGGAAGGTGTGTAGACCTGCTGCCTGTCCCTGAGGGTGTCTGCGCGGCAGCCTCGGAGGCGGAAGGTGCGAGGAAGGGGCCGGCCGGCCTGCCGCTCACGCCCTCTGTTCCGTTGTCTCGCTGCAGCGGAGGACTTGGACCTCCTCAACGCCAGTTTCCAAGACGGAAGCAAAATCCTCTACACGTGGACCCCGGGCACGTTGCTGCACTACGGGCGGGCCGAGCTGAAGACCTCCGACCACAGGTGCCGCGTCTGCGTTCGCCGGGCTCGCCATGGAGGGTGACACGCGTCCTTCCGGAAGCATCCTAACCCTGTCTTCCTCGCGCCTCAGGCCCGTGGTCGCCCTCATCGACATCGACATCTTCGAGGTGGAGGCCGAGGAGAGGCAGAGCGTCTACAGGGAGGTCCTGGCCGAGCAGGGCCCGCCCGACGCCACGGTACTGGTCTCCGTCCAGAGCGCAGGGCCGGAGAGCAGCTTCTTCGATGACACTTTGATCGACGAGCTTCTGCAGCAGTTCGCGAATTTTGGTGAAGTGGTTCTCATAAGGTGAGAGAACTATTCATCGTTCAAAAGCAGCTCATGATTCCTGAACCAGATGTTCTGTACTAGAAAGGGCCTTACCTAGGGTTTGAATAGTATTGAATGTTGTTATTTCCAAACTGGGGGAGATCCATGCTCTAGAACGTTATTCAGCCTGGCTGGTGTGGCTTAGTGGCTGAGCGTCCACCTATGAACCAGGAGGTGAGGGTTCGATTCCCAGTCAGAACACATGCCTGAGTTGTGAGCTTGAACCCCAGTAGGGGGCATGCAGCAGGCAGCTGATCAATGATTCTCTCTCATCAATATTTTTATCTCTCCCTCTCCCTTCCTCTCTCTAAAATCGATAAAAATATATTTTTAAAATAAAATAAAACATTAGAGTCTTAAGAAGAAAAAAAAGTAAGTAAACAAGGAAAGGACTCCTGTCACCAGAAAGACTAAACTGATTCTCACCTCCTGGGCCAGAGCAGGACACCGGCAGGGAGGGACGAGCCTGAACTCCCGTGTAACCAGGAGGCTCCTGGAACGTGGACGGCACACAGTTAGGTGCACGTAGACACTCATCTCAATCGGGGGAAACTCTAGAAGCTTTTACCCTTGGAGTGAAAAGGGGGAGAAAATACAGCTTCCGGAAGGACCTACATAAATCCCTGGGCATTAGAACCGGAGTCTCTGTTAAAGTGAGACATGTGTGAGGGGCACGTTGCTGATGAAGGATCGGACCAAGCATTCGCCCTGCCCCGTTGGCCACGGGTGCCTGGAGCCGCCGTCAGAACAGCGGTTGGGGCGGGGATGGGTCTGAGTGCAGCCACAGGAAGGAGGGCGCTCCCCACCGTCAGCAGGTGAGGTCTTCATGGTACTCGGGTAGGATGGCTCTCCGTCTTTGAAAGGACAGGATCCTGCAGCTTCATAACGTTGGGCCAGAGAAGCTGTGCACATTGAGTGATTGTGGAAGTCTGTTCCGGCCTTTGCTTTAAGCTGGCAAAGTAACTGCACACGTGTGCTTTTATTTTAGTCTTTTCCTCTTAATGTCTATAATTCATGCTTTTGAATCCTAGTTAAGGGAGACTTTGTGTGTGTGTGTGTGTGTGTGTGTGTGTGTGTGTGTGTACCTCAATGCATGTATGTATTTTTCATCTTTGAAACTCTGCCAGGATCTCTGAACTTCCACCGTTGGGATTGTTTGAATTCGTCAGCCTGTTCCTGTAGGTCAGCCTGGCAGTGTGTGATTCGCTTTGTTCCTTTTTGCGTGATGACATTATTACATCTCAGTGACCATCTTCAGGGCTTATCCTGATGTCCTTTATTTTTTACTCTTGGGGTTCTTACTTCAAAATTGTAAACAGAATCATAGCCAAGGCCATCGAAGTCCCCAGACAGTAAGTGGCTGTCAGTGAGCCTCAGGCTCCTTGGGGAGGTCCGAGGTCGGTTTAATGAACACCCCGTCTTCTTTCTTGGTCAGAGGACATTGCTCCAGGGCAGTCAGCATACCTCCCGCAGGTCTGTGGGGTCAGGAGACTCGGACTCTGTCCTGTGACTTACTTGCCTTGTAAGGTCACTTGGAGCGAGCTGTTCAGCCTCTGGCCCCTTTCCCTGGTCGGTGAGGTGGCCGAGCGGATGAGCAGGGGTCACAGCTGGCCCTCACCGCAGGCCCGTTGCTTCTGGCCGCCTGTTAGCCGTGTGTGAAAGCCCTTTGACGCGGAATCTCGGGGGAAGAGCGCCCCCGCCAGGTCACCCGCCTGCTGCTCTCTCCAGTGTTTACTTCCCGGCCTCCGCGGGCCCTTGTTCATCAGTCATCAGCAGACGAGTCACGGGGCTAGTTATGTCTGAGGTGTTAATTATGTTTTTTTATTGTTCGTTTTTCTCTCTCTCGAAGGTTTGTAGAAGATAAAATGTGGGTTACATTTTTGGAGGGAAGTTCTGCCTTGAGTGTTCTGAGCCTCAGTGGTAAAGAGGTGAGTAGCTTTCGCTGACTCTAAGTTCTTCTGTAATTAAGTGAACAAGGGTTATGCTTTTATACAAATGCAGCAAGATTATCTAAATGAATTTCCAGTTCCAAAGGAGGAAAGACCTTATGGAGAACTTTAATATTTATTAAGACTAGGTGTCTGACTAGTTCAGGATTATTTTGGTCTGTCCCTAGAGATATTAACCATTGATCTAGATTAAGAAGAAACCATGTTTACCATCTAATTTGATTTTAATTATCCTATATAATAAAGAGGCAATATGCAAATTAACCCTCACACCCTCACAAAGATGGCTGCTTAGGAGGTGGAACTTTTGATGCTGACTGGCATAGAAACTGACCAATCAGAACCTAATCTGGGTGAACTGTGAAGGCAGAACCTAAGGTGCGGGCTGAGGAGGGGTTTTAAGGGCAGCAGCTGTTTGGTGTAAGGTGTAAGAAAGTGGTTCAATTTTTTAATGACCAATTTGGCAGTATAGTGCATATGGCTGGCTATCAGTCCAGATATAGGGATTATGTATTTTTGTTTGCCAAGAGCATCTCCTCCTGATAAAAAAGGTTTTTCTCCCCCATTTAAGCAATCCTATCCTATATAATCTATCTATACTAATAAAAGGGTCAACCGACCATCATCCGGATGTCTGACTTCCTTCCGGACAAAGCCATGGTGGTGGGGGCCGAGGCAGAGGCCGTTAGGGGCGATCAGGTGGCAGGGGAGGGCTGCTGGGGGCAAGATCAGTCAGGCAGGCAGAGGCAGTTAGGGATGATCAGGCCGGCAGGCAGGTGAGCGGTTAGGAGCCAGCGGTCCCAGATTGCAAGAGGGATGCCTGACTGCCAGTAGTCGGACATTTCCCAAGGGGTCTCTGATTGGAGGGTGCACGCTGGGCTGAAGGACCCCCCCCCCCCACCCCCGTGCACCGGGCCATTAGTTGTTATATAAAATGTTTTAAATTCTTAAGTTTGAATCAGGTATTTTGGCTCATCTATTTAATAGGAAAGATTTCTATCAAATGAATAAAATGCTTTATTGACAAGAAAACAAGGAAGAAGGTACTCATGATTCCTAGGAACTTGTTGGATTGGCTTAGATAGTGGTACCCAGGCCCCCTTTTCAAGCATAGGGACAATAATGCTCATAGAATATATAGTCAGTAATATTACAATAGCTGTGTATGGTGTCAGGTGGGTACTGGACTTATGATCACTTCATCATGTATATAAATACCTCTGTGTGGTACACCTGAAACTAACATACTATTGAATGTCAAGTGTAATTAAAAATTAAAACTAATAATTCCCCTCGGTAACAATCCATCCCATTGAGCCAGTTTAGAACTGTTTTAGTTAGTGGGGATGTCACTCCCTGTGATTGACATGTCACGTGGGGGTTTGTGTCGGTGCCTGGAGAGGTGACTGCCACAGAGGGCTGCGTCTCCGTTTCTCTCAGTGCTTTTGGCCGGACCCTCAGTGTCCGAGTGCATGGTCACTCGGTAGGATGGACGAAAATCCACGCGTGATTTCTCCAGTGGGGCAGCTTCATACGCATTTCCTGAGCTTCCTTTCGGTTCCATTGCTTGCGCTTCCTTGGAGAGAACATTTCCACACATACGTTGCTTTTGCAGTAGGTTTTGTAGGGTCTTGTTTGTTTTCCCAAATGTAGTCGTAGCACACTCGTGCAGCAGTAAGTCAGGAGACCCAGGAAAGCGCTTCCGCTCTGACAGCCCGAAAGCCCAGAAGGAGCAGGAGCTGTTGCTGTCTTGGCCTTGACCCCTGGCGTCAGTCTGCAGCCCCTGCTGTGTGCTGCGCGCTGCGCTCTCCCCAGTGCGTCTGGTGACCGCCGTGTCCTCGCCATCTGGGAACTGCTGACTTTTAAATGTCATTCCAGCTTTTGTCTCTTAAAAACCCCTTTCTCATCCCACGTGATGTTTAAGGGCAGCTCCTATGTCGGCCTTTCTTGTCAACTTTTACCCCCTTCTGAGTTTTCCTTTTGCCTTTCCCTGACAATTCAATCCCCCGCCCCCTTCAGCTCTGTCCCTCACCCTCAAGTCTAGTCACCTGTGTTATACTCTTAGAAAGTATCCACACTTCGGTCCCTTACAAGGCTTTCACAGTTTTGTAAACTATGTTTGTGGCGAGCGCTGTGTGATGATTCATGTTCCTCCTGGGGCTGAGGAACCCAGTGTGGACAGGAGAAGATTTGCTACTGTCTCTTCTGTGGCTGTTTCACCCGGGACAGTTAACATGTGGATCCAGGTCAGAGGAAGCGCCATGTTATGCAGCCAGTTGCGGGTGAACTTGCACCCGGTGGGGAGACACTGGCTGCAGCAGAGGACACAGCTCTGTGTCCTGGGAAAAGGCCTTAGCTGCTGCAGCACGTGCTTCTAACGGGAGCGTGGGGGCGTTTGAACTGGTTAAAATCAGTGTGTGGAGCAGTATGCTGCCTTGGTCTGCGTTAAACCTGTGTGAGCAAGGCAGCCACTGTGTTCCACGAGAGTTCATTTCCAGGCCAATGAACTGCTGTCTATGTCTCTCACTCAACTAGTTACTGGGCCGGACTATAACGATTACTTTGAAAAGTCCCGACTGGATCAAGAATTTGGAAGAAGAAATAAGTTTAGAGAAGATTAACGTCCCATTGCCTTCGTCGACAAGCTCCACGCTGCTGGGCGAGGACGCGGAGGTGGCGGCAGACTTCGACCTGGAAGGTTTGTTCATGGAACACACTCTCGCGTGCTTCTAGGCCACAGGGACTGCAGAGACGGAGGGAACTGGCCCTGGAATCGCGAGCAGAGAAACAGACCAAGTGAGGGCCCGAGAGGGCTGCCCTGAAAGGACAATGTGAAGAAGCCCCTGGGAATGTCAGAGCCGAGAGAGTGGTGGTTAGAAGCCACTGGGCATGTCAGAGCCGAGAGAGTGGTGGTTAGAAGCCACTGGGAATGTCAGAGCCGAGAGAGTGGTGGTTAGAAGCCACTGGGAATGTCAGAGCCGAGAGAGTGGTGGTTAGAAGCCACTGGGCATGTCAGAGCCGAGAGAGTGGTGGTTAGAAGCCACTGGGCATGTCAGAGCCGAGAGAGAGTGGTGGTTAGAAGCCCCTGGGAATGTCAGAGCCGAGAGAGTGGTGGTTAGAAGCCACTGGGCATGTCAGAGCCGAGAGAGAGTGGTGGTTAGAAGCCCCTGGGAATGTCAGAGCCGAGAGAGTGGTGGTTAGAAGCCACTGGGCATGTCAGAGCCGAGAGAGTGGTGGTTAGAAGCCACGTGGGAATGTCAGAGCCGAGAGAGAGTGGTGGTTAGAA